CCACTGAGGTGACCAGCAGGAGCAGCCGCAAAGCCAGCACAGTCTGAGAAGGCACCCAAACAGCAGAAGCCTCAGGTGGAGCCAGAGAAGGCCACTGAGAGCGCACCGAGTTCTCTATGCCAGTAGTCGCAGACCCAGTTCCAGAGCATTCTTTCTAATCAGTTCGAATGCAGTATATGTTCCACCAAACACATGTAATTTTGGGCAAGCACCAAAGCCTGGAGAATGAGATGCAGCTTATCGCAATGCACCGCCAGTCTACCAGCCAGAGCTTGCGACTATAGTATTTGAGCAATCAATGAAGTCATCAGCAGTAATGTTGTCCATGGAGGAGTTGCTGTCAATATTGCCAGATGTGTGCAACAAGTATCGTGAAGCATGCACACTGAAGCGAGTAATACCTCCAAGTGCAACTGGAATGGCGATGATCTTGGAAAATGCAGAAGACAGTAGTTCTACGATTGGACAGGAGGAAGAGTTCACCTGTTGAGGGGAGCCTTTAGCAGTGATGGGTTCAGTCATTCCTGATCCATATGATGCCTATTTGAAGCATGTTCACAATGGAGAAGAGCCAGAACAGTTGACAGTCACAAAAGACTTGCATGCATTGCGATCGATAGTCACCCTCATCGACAACAAGGAGCGAGTACAGGCAATCCTAAATCCAGGATGCCAGATTGTCACAATGTCAGAAGACATCTGCCATTTGCTGGGACTCATCTATGATCTGACAATAAAGCTCAACATGCAGTCTGCGAATGGAGAAGTCGACCAGTCACTCGGACTTGTTTGCAATGTACCATTCCAAGTCGGAGATATCGTCCTCTACTTGCAAATTCATGTCATTTGCACAGCTGCATACGATATTCTTTTAGGATGACCATTTGACGTGCTCACCAAGAGCATGGTGCGCAACTTCTTCGATGGAAACCAGATGGTTACAGTCATATGTTCCAACACAGGAAGAGTTGCAACGATACCAAGAGGACCACCATGAGTCAGGGCACAGCATTTGCGATCGAAGGATCTGGGTTTTCACTAGTGGAAGATATGAGTACCGAAAGCAGTGGGATGGCATTCATCATTGATGTAAGCAGCACAAATACCCCTATCATATCAGCCTATTCCCCAGTCATATCTTCCGATCCCATTTCCATTCAGTCAAGCTATTTGCGAGCCTCAGGACAGGCCCTCGATGCAGTATCATCGTTGTACACAGTCACCTCAGATTTTTGACTGACCCCTCAAACCTCGACTTCATGACTGCTACAGATGATCATAGGTCACAATTGCGATCAAGAGTCAAGCTCGAGAGCAGGCTATGCTGCGACCAAGAAAAAGTACAAGCCAGTCATGCTCAAAACTCGACCAGTAATCGCATCGGTACTCGAGCAATTTCGAATCATTTGACAGATACATGGAGATCCTTTGCGACACCTATCTAAGCTTCCAGAGCGGCCGGGTCCATTCTTTCTGACCAGTCGCTATACGAAGGAATGCATGGAGGCTTTGGATGTGGTGCACCAGCTGGGATTCTTATGGCTGGAAGAGTGAGCTCTCATGCACGCATTCATGTATCTGCACAATTAGGTGTTTGCTTGGAGCGATTCCGAGTGAGGATGATTCAAGTCACAGTATTTTCTGCCGATTGATTTCTCAGTCATTCCACATCAGCCATGGGTTCAGCGGAACATTCTGATTTCACTGGGCATTTACAAGGAAGTCTGCACAATTATCAAGAAGAAGCTGGACACCAGAGTCTATGAGCCCTCAAACTTTTCATATTGATCATGATGGTTCTGTGTCATAAAGAAGGATGGAAAGTCTCTGCGACTCGTTCACAGTCTCAAACCACTCAACGCCATCACAATCCAGCACTCAGGAGTTACGCCGACTCTGAAGCATCTAGCAGAGCAGTTCAGCAGTCATGCCTGTGGAGCCATGCTTGATCTATATGTTGGATATGATGAGAGACTCATAGCAGAGACATCGCATGACCTCACCACATTCCAGATGCCTTTTGGCACTTTCAACTTGTCACCCTTCTGATGGGATGGACAAACTCGGTGCCGATCTTCTACGATGACGTCACGTACATTTTGCAATCGAAATTCCTGCGTTCACCATGCCGTACATTGACGATGTCCCAGTCAAAGGTCCAGTGACTAGATATCTCAATTCAAACAAAAGCTTCGAGATGATCGCAGGCAATGATGGCATTCAATGATTCGTCTGGGAACACTTCCAGAATCTTAATCACATTGTGCAGTGAATGGAGTATGCTGGAGGTATCTTCTTGGAAACGAAGTTAACGCTATGCGCCGAAGAGATCATGGTCATCAGACACAGGGGTACTCTGATTGGATGATTGCCAGATGCATTGTGAGTCTGGACAGTCAGAAATTGAGGCCCATGCAAGGACCTATCAGAAGTTCGAGCTTTTCTAGGCATGATCAGAGTTGCAAGGATCTTTATCAGGGACTTCACAAAGTGAGCGCACTCACTTGTGCAGCTTACTCGGAAAGGAGTTCCATTTGAATTCAGCAAGGTGCAGCTCAAAGCGATGGAAGACCTAAAGCAGGCATTATTGGAGTCACCAGCTTTGTGAATGATCAATTATGACTCATCAGCACCAGTTATTCTTGCAATGGACACATCTCTGATCGCAGTTGGATAACAGTTGTGCCAAGGCACAACTGACGGATCGAAAAAGCAGTTTTGCAATCAGTTTAGGTCTATCATGCTCAACGACCGCAAGAGGTTTTCGCAACTGAAGCTCGAGCTCCACGGTCTATATCGCACTTTGCGAGCACTCAAGGTCTATCTAATCAGCATTCGTAACCTGATAGTCGAAGTGGATGCCAAGTACATTAAGGACATGTTGCAGAACCCAGACATTGCCCCGAGCGCAAGCATTAATTGTTGGGTCATTGTGATCCTCATGTACCATTTCCAACTAGTCCACATCCCAGGAGTCATGCATGGTCCAGATGGATTATCACGCTGACCAAGCCAGCAAGGCAACCTGCCACCAGAGCCGATCGAGGACACCAACTTCGATGACTGGGTGGATCGCATGAACGGCTTTATGCACCAAGTACTTCCCTGAGTGCAGCTTCTGAGTAATCCACTGTTGATCGAGGATGGTCGATTTTTCAGAACGGGGGAGGAGCCAGCCACGCAATCAGTTTTTGTGCTTCTAACTCAAAATAATGATGGATCGGAAACCATGCGAGATGCTCAGGACCCGAAGGTGGTCAGCTACAAGGATGTTCCACGATCCACATGAGCCAGGCAGAATGACCATCTTATTGCTCTAATTACTGACTGGCTAGAAACGGTGTAGCGACTGGAGAACTACTCGGACAAAGAATACGATCGAATGCTCAAGTATGTGATTCACTTCTTCAAATGTGATGGACATCTCTGGAGGAAAGATGGACAAGGATTGCACAAGCTAGTCATATTACCAGAAAACTGACTGCAGGTCCTCGCTGGAGCACATGACAAACTTGGGCATTGAGGCATTTTTCTGACTCGGTCATTGATTCGCGAACGCTTTTGGTGACCGGATGTCGTGGCTGACATCGCTTGGTTTGTCACGACTTGTGTAATATGTTAAAAGCGACAGATTCATCAGATTCTCATTCCACTGACTGTTGCGATTCCAGCCCCGATATTTGCGAAAATATATATCGACACAATGCATATGCCGCCCTCAAATGGATTCAAGTACATCGTGCAGGGTCGATGTTCACTCACCCACTATCCTGCATTCTGTATGCTTCAAGCAGAAACTGCAAAGACCCTCGGTGATTGGATTTTCAAAGATATACTCTGTCGCTGGGGGGCACTATCAGAAATCGTAACTGACAACGGCGCACCATTCGTAAAAGCAGCAGCCTATCTGGAGAAGAAATACCACATCAAGCACATCCGGATAAGTGGCTACAACTCACGAGTGAATGGAATCGTTGAGCGACCACATTTCGACGTTCAGCAAGGTCTATTCAAGGCTGCTGATGGAGCAGAGCGCAAATGGAGTCAAGTCACACATTCCATTTTCTGGTCAGAAAGAGTAACAGTTAGAAGACACATGAGTTGCTTACCCTATTTCACAGTCACAGGCACCAATCCAGTCCTACCGCTTGACATTGTTGAAGCAACGTATTTGATTCCAGCCCCAGTCGAAATGGTGACAACAACTGACCTAATTGTGAGTCGAGCTGAAGTGTTGCAGAAGTGCCGTGAACAGGTCGCAAGAATCTATAACACAGTCTATGAAGCCAGAAGAAAAGCAGTCAGATGATTTGAGCGAGTCCACAAGAATGCAATCAAGGATTTTGACTTCAAGCGCAGAGACCTAGTCTTGGTTTGGCATATGCAGATCAAGAAGGCACTCAATTGGAAAATGACACCGCACTATATTGAACCATATATTGTGCTGTTTCGCAATCGGGGAGGAGCATACATGCTCTGCAAGTTGGATGGAGCAGTATTGGACTGACCAATTGCTGCATTCAGGGTGGTGCCCTTTATGGCAAAGAAGAAGATCACAATCACAGAAGAAATGTTGGACGCATCGAAAACCAGATTGATGAAGATACATCAGGCGGATGACCAAGGAGAAGAGGAACTGGATGAAGAACAAGAAGATGAGGAGTCAGGGAAAGAAGACGAAGGATCGCAGGACCAGTACAATGCAAACGAGTCAGAATAGACAAGTATAGGGATTCGAACTAATCATTCAATTGTATATAGGCAAGGACTCAGCTAGAGACTCAAGAATTCGAACAAGACTATCATATTCGGTGGCAAATTTCTTAATATTTTGGTCAGGCAAGATCGCACAAGGCTTTTTGGCACACATTTTATTCAAAACGACTAACTAATACACTTGCTCCATGCGCACGTAGGGAGAGATCACGAAAGAGATGTGAAGAAATATGTGGATGGCCCACTTTGCATCACCCCAGCCCAAGCCTAGCACACCAATGAAGTCACGACTTGTGAGCCCTCAAGGCATGGTTCTCCTTGAGGAGCTGTTGCGAAAGCTTGATCATCCACTCAAGTTGCGTACTAGCTTCAGAGGGCTCGATGACAGCTGTCGAAGCATGAATCGGCTCTGACTTCACGGTCATAGCCTTGGAGGAGCCCTTTCGACGAGTGCAGCTTGAGGACCTTGGTCAGCAGAACGATGATGGTGCCGGTGTGGCATGCTGCATCACGATGTCATCAGGATTGAAGTCGTCAAAGCGAGGACACTTGGGAGGCCTGTCGAAATGATCTAAAGAAACCATTAGCAAAGAAGTAACGATGCGGAAAGGAACATACCATGCAGTGGTGGAGGAATCACCAGCTTATGACGAGAAGGCCCAGTGGTGCCCTTCTCTTGCTTGACGGTCACAATCTCAGGTGCACCTTCAGTGTCGGACTCAACATCAGGCTTGGGCATGTCAGGTAAGGTATGGGCTGGACCTGGAGGGAGGTCAGTTAGCCAGAAACATAACGAGAAAGGAGGGAGGCCTATGAAGGCATGGGGCCGGAGCAATCACAGTCTCATATTCATCAATCAGTGTGTCCAGCAGAAGCTCGAGCTCTGTGGTGTAATCGCTGCTGGCAGTGTTCACATCATGCATCTGCTCGTTGTAGTCACCCTGGTGACTAGAAGCCTTCACAATCACTGAAGCATCCGGCATCTTGGGCAGTGGCCAATCCTTCTGATGGTACAGCTTCTTTAGTGAAAGCCATCTGTCGGCATTATCAATGTCAGGGACCATATCACGCATCCACCACTTGCAGGCCTTGTGGTCATGGTGACATTTGCAGCATTTAGGATGGAACTTGCTTAGCATGCAAGTAAGAGACACCTTCTCAGAAAGAAGGCAATAGCGACACTGGAAAAAGGAGTTAGCAATGGAAAAGGGTGGGCCAGGCAAGCACTTACCAAATAAGCAATAGACTGCTTCTGCCAAGCCAGAAGATACTCTGCAGGAAGGGAGCGATCATGAAAGGAGCACACAGGCATGTGCACATACTGGTCCTCTGAGGTCGTAGTTATTTTGGAAGCTTTGATGGACTTGTGACCACGACCCTTGCCCTTCTTCAGATGCACGGGAGACAAGTTGGGGATCGTGCCACCCATGAACTTGACCTCGTCACTATCGCTATTGTTCTAATCATTGCTGGAGAGCTCGATGGTCTCAGAGCCTTTCACAGAGGGAGGTTTATTGAACATGGAAGCGAGTGGAGGATCAACCTCCATGGCTGCAAGATCTGAGTTGAAAGGAGGGTCAATAGCGACCAGGTTGGCCGCACGAGCCTGAAACTCAAATGTAGGGACAGGATCACCAAGAGCAGCAGAAGCTGTGACAGGCATGGCTACCACAAAAAAAGAGGCCAGAGCAACTGAGAGGAGAGTATCGTCAGTGCCGGTGGAAGTGGTCAGAGAGTTGGAGGCCGTGACCTCCTCAGTATTGGAAGGAGTATGTGCGAAAGCCTCAGTCACTGAAGGGGGGCTCAGCTCCTAGAGAGAGTTGAAGGATCATGTTAGTAGAGGACAAGAGATCACAGTCCAGCACATGCACCTTGTTTGCCGAGAAGGCAGCAGCCCACTCAGGTGAGATCAACTCTGTGCATCATGATAGCCATGATGGTTGAATGAAGGAGTCGAGATGTGCCTGGGCTTTTTGGCAAAACTGGGTATAGCACGTTTGTGACACTGAGTCCAAGAAGGCATGAAGATCATGCTAGAGGAGGGAGCAAGTTAGCCAGCTGCGAGTACGATGGAGCATTCACTTACCAGGGCAGAAAGGACCTCATGTATCAGGAATTCGAAATCCACAGCTGGATTGAGAGGCTCTGCCTCACACAATGCCTCCCAAGCGAAGTAAATGACACCCATGACAGCATCTTTTGAGTCTGCTGTCTAGGTGTCAAGGAAAGGCATTAGCACTGCGAGAAGCCAAAAGGTTTGAAAGACAGGTGTACCTTGCATGAAGAAGTGACTGGAGTTGCAGGACATTGAGAGGACAACAGAGTAGCAGGGTCACCCATCGAGGAGCTAAGAGATTGAGGTAGAGGGAGAGGCTAGTTGGGTGCCATTGCAGAAAAGTTTGGACTGGCCAAGCTCGGACACGTGAACGCGTCATTAAAACCTCACGATATCATCCTCTACCACGTGGTAGAGCCAGTCGGCTTTCTGAGGAAGCCAGTTAGAGTGACTCGGATGGGACTTCTATTGCGGAACCGAAATGCGAGCCAACCCCGATCAAAGCCACACAAAATAATAGATTCATGGCACAGCACCAGAGATGAACACAGTCGGACTATTGTACATGAGAAAATGGAGTACACAAAAGACAAATCGAGGCAGTTCTAGACTACGTGGCTTTCCTATTCGCAGTCAGGAAGGTTTTCAAGAACTGAAGATGCTCGCTAATGCGAGTCACCTCCACTACCAGTCGCGTATGCTCCTGTGTATAGATCTTGACTAGCAGAGTGCTGGGAACAGCCAGTCCACGAATCTCGCTAAGAATCTGCTCGGTATCGACAAGTGATTTGGTGCCTGCAATCACAAAAGGAGTGGAGTCAGGACGGCAGCATTTCTGATCAAGAAAAAGAAGGCGTACTGGAGGGAGGTGCGACACTCAGCAGTGAATGCAAGCCTGTCCACCATGCTCGGAAGGCATAATAATGCAGTCGCCATCCATCAAGCACTTAGAGCACTGGTGGCAGAAACATAAGCGATGCACAGGAGGTGAAAAGCGAATGAACGTACCTTGATATGCGGCCACGGCTTTCCGAAACTCAAGAATGTGATTTGCACATGCTTTGAGAGAGTGTGGATGGCAGCGTAGTACTCACACAGCATATCTGACTCAGAGGACTTGGTGGTGACCACGGACACCGAATGTCACTGAACTCGCAGAGTCACTGCAGCAACTTCAGATTCATGCTTGACCACATCCTGAAGAATCTCCGCCATAGTACAAGACACAGTGGAAGAAGAAGGAACATGTCAGCTATCATAATCTATCCACCAGCAGCCAATTAGGATGGTCTGCCCAAGGAATGTACGGTCGTGCCATTCCACGAAAACATCATTTGTCGTGTATGCCATTAGAAAGTGATCGCAAGTAAGGTCATGACCTTCAGGGAGCTTGTCAAAATCACCATGGTCTGCAGCCTTAATGATCTTCTGCATGATCGCAGTCATCGCAGCAGGAGAACGAATCAGGTCAGTGGTGCCGACAGCCTCAGGATAACCTCTCAGGGTGGAGGGGACCACTGCTGGGATCCAATCAAAGTCAGGGCTCGCATTCAGCATGAGCCAGTCATACACTGAATTGACCTCATGCAGCAAACTCTTGGCACAGTCTGGATAGTCACGGGTCATGCATAACTGGAAGGCCGCAGCATTGACTGGCAGAAGGCAGATCGCAACACAGAATACTCACCTCATAAGTGAAAAATGACATGGCCCAGCCCTGCCAGACCAAGGCATGAGCATCAGGAGTGGGTGATGTGAACACAAGATTATACAGGTGCTGCAGTAGTGAAATGCAAGCACTGTCAATGGGGTAGACACTGCGAGTGTGAGCGGCGAGGCTGAAGACACCGTCGACGTGGACATAGCGGTGAAGGACTGGAAAACTGACAGTGAGGTTGTGCTATCTAAAGTATGCAAGCCCAATGGACTGAGGACAGTCCAGATCTCAGAATGGGGGAGGTGGTACATACCGAGATAGGTGATACATACCGAGATATTCTGCGATCGGAAAATGCCAGAAACTGTGTCTGACTATCGCACAATCAGATAGCGAGTCACCACGATCCAAAAAGACAAACACCGAGCCAAAACAGTCCAGAGTGGGCAAAGAAGACTTTACTGACAGCCTGGGAACATGGAACTGCATAAAGGGGTCAGAAGGTGAACATGAGGCATGAAAATGACGAGCGAGCCACGAGGAAGCATAGCTGATTACAAGGTACAGCACGAGAGTGAAACACGACCAGTTAGGCAACTTGGAAATGAACAAGTGCACTAACTGAACAGAAGATAGGGTAGTGGACCAATGGACCCTGACAGGGCCGGACTTCCAGTTCCCTGATTGTATGATATAGAGAGGGGCAGGGACGAGCTTTGTGACAGGTTTCAATGGATCGAAAATGCGTTTTAGCGACTCAGCTGGCTCATTTCTGATCCACTATATAATCTACACTGTACATAGGAATAATAAGAGAGTTTTACATGGAGTTTCCCCATGCAGCAGTGATCAGTTCTCATCTTGTCTATGCTAGGACGTTATGCCCGACTATGTCTACGTCTATTGCGATCACGTTCTACATCTCTGGGATTCTCGACACCAAGAGAGGCAGCACTCTCAGCAGTGGCCTCTAGCTCCACTCGGGTTTCAGCCACATAAGTCATGTTATCGTGTTCTCGTATCTCATGCCATTGCATTTTGCTCACACGCCACCAGTCATGAGTCTCAAACCAGGATTCCGTAGCCTCGCTAGTGCTCAGGAGTTCATCGTCAGTGCTCATTCCCATTTGGAGACACCCAGTGGTTCATTGGCGACACTCGTTCCAGTCAGAAGTGCTCAGGGCTTCGTCGTCGGCACTTATCCCAGCTCGAAGACAGTTAGGGGTTGCTCATTGGCGCTTGACCCAGTTTGGAGGCAGTTAGGGATTGCTCGTTGGTGCTTGACCAGCACTTTTCAGATATAGAAGGTCCTCGTGCCCCAGCCCAGACCTTCAGCCACCACCGTTCATGAGTATGGAAGTCGCCAATCGCATTCTACATCCACACACCCCCACATTCCAGCTTTTGACTGTTTCCCAGTCAGAGGCATTCATACAGTCAAGTCTGACACTCACCGATCCAGAACCTTTGACAATCTGACTCCGTTTCAAGCATCACAGCTGAATGACTCATGGCTGCTCATCACTGCATTATCATCTGAACTTTTCTGCGACCGTAGCCCAAAGGGACTGCAGACGGACAGAGCCCCAGTTCACCTTCCACCAGTAGGGGTTTGGTTAGGAGTGCTGCTCATGGCCAGGACACGGTTGAGCATATCAGCTGGAGCAGAGGCTGATGCCGGTGCTGGGACAGGTGCATCACCGGGAACAAGTGGAACTCCACCATTGTGTGATGTTGGATCAGGATTGGGTACAGGTGGTGAAATAGGGGTAGGATGAGCAGCTGCGGTGGAGACAGTAGGCTCCTGACCATAGATGTCAGTGGGTTCACAGGTGCAGTGACCCTTTACCTCCTCAAAGACCACATCGTGTGACCTAATGATCCCTCTCCTTAGACCAGCAGTGGGATCCCACAAGCAAAAGTTTGCATTGTCAGTATAACCCACAAGGATACAGCGATGTGACTTAGGATCGAGCTTGGTCCAGGTGTCATCGGTAAGTCTGGCTCATGCTACTGAACCAAATGCATGCAGGTGCACTACGTTGGGCGCACATCCATGACAATGTTCATATGAAGTGCAGCCTTTCTGCCTTGCGGACGGAGTAAGCGACTTCAAGTAGACAGCGATATGGAAAGCCTTCACCCACAAATGGTTCAGGATGCCTGCATTATACAGCATAGCATGAGCATGGTCAGTGAGGGTGCGATGGCTGTGCTCACTTACACCATTCTCCTGAGGTGTATAGGGCACAGTCAGTTCCACAACAATTCCGTTGTCCTGGGAGTAAGCTGCCCATGCTCCATTATTGAACTCAGTGTCATTGTCAAAGTGGACATGGTGCAGCTTGCAACCTGTCTGTCACTCAGCCATGTGATGGAAAGCCTGAAAATGGTGTAATGTTTCATCCATTGACTTGGTGGTGAGTGGGTATACCATGGTATAGGACGATACGCCATCATCGATTGTCAAAAGGTATCGAGCACCACCTAGCAAAGCAATGGGAAATGGTCCCATCAAATCCACATAGACTCATTCAAGGAGCTCCATCTTGACTTCAGATGCACAAAATGGTGCATGGGTTTGCTTGCCCTTAAGACAATTCTCACACTTCCCAGCAGGACGGTTGCCCTTCATGATCATACCTGACACCACATTGGACCGTGCCATCGTCTGTACAGTCTATTCACTAATATGACCCAGTCTGTGATGCCAAGTTGTGATGTCAGCCACAGAACTGTGGTCATCAACTGCTAGTGCATGATGATCATAAGTGAGGTACATGCGAGAGAGATTTGGCAAGGTAGTGAAGTTGACCTTAGTGAACTCCACCTCATACAGGTCACCCAATGTCAAGATGCAGGTGAACATTGTCTTCCCTGCTTTGCCCATCACGTTCATCATCCCCGCTGCACCAGAGAATGAATATTCAGCATGGTCGAGGCATGGCATCGATATCAGATTTGCCATGAGATCGGGAGTATGGATGGTGTTCTGAAATATAATGATGGATGTACATCCATCTATCATCATCTTGATGGCAACATTGCCTACTCCTACGATGCTAAAGAACCTTTCTTGGCTGCATTTCCCAGCATCAGAGTGAGCGGCATATAGTTGATGAAACTTGCACGATCCACAAAGCAGTGGTGAGTAGCACCAGTGTCAGCATAGGCCCTCAGGGTTCCATGGCTGATGGGCTCGACATGTGGTAGATTGACGAGGTGGGCACTGGCCAGGAATATATGATAATCATATTCTGATACATGCCCATCACTCGTGTTTGTGGAACGTGCGGTTGCTGTCATAAGGTGAACTTGTGGTAGAATCTGAGGACTAGATGCAGTAGCCCCAGATTTCACTGCTGTCGATGTCACTGCAGCCTGTTTGGCTGTCAACGCTTTCACCGCAGGTGAGCCCTTCTTAGGGATAGGCTTTGTCCACCCTGCTGGCTGCTGACCCTCTCATCCTCCCCCTTCACAGAAACAATTGGCTTGCAGATGGCCCTTTGCACCACACGGGCACCACTCACATATCTGTATGGGTTTTGCACATGTCATGAACATACTGGTGGTTTGTGATGCAACTTGGTCTGTTTTCATCGGGTTAAGCGGGTTACCGGCCTGTAT